TGCATTCACAATGGTATGAACCATTTTAGTGGTGGTCAAATGTATATTGAAGCTATCTATTATTTTTATTAGTAATATTACTTAAGATACAGATCAGAGCAAACAGCAGCCATAGTACACAGTAAAAAAAAAATTTAAGTTGTTACAACAACAAAAAACATAATCCTTATTTCTTTTCACTTTGTCTTGCTCACTCAGCTTTTTAAAACATCAGCTGCACTGACTTAAAATTGTTTATCAGTGATACAAAAAAAAACATTTAGATGGGTTAACATAATATTATTAGTTTTCTGGAGAGGTGAACTACTCTGTAACAAAACTTTTTAAGTTGTGACATCTTTTGTCTGCAGAACTGGAATGGATAAAGTTGAAAGGACAAAAAAAAACATAACCCTTATTTCCTTTAGTTTTTTTCTTGTTTACTCATTTTTTTACCTTTAATAAACAGGACAGTATAGACAGGAAAGCATGAGGAGAGGAGAGAGGGGAAGAGTCACACCTAGGACCTCAAAGTGGGAGTCAGCACACTAACCACTACACCATTGGCACCAATGTATTCTCAATTTTTGAAAACATCAGCTGCACTGACATAAAATGTCTTAAGTTGAGAACAAAACACTCTTTTGGAATTTGTACAATGAAATAATACATTATTAGAACAAATTATTTCTTAGTACCAATTTCCAAAAGAGTTTTTTTGTTCACTTAACTTCAGACATTTTATGTCAGTGCAACTGATGTTTTTACGAGTTGTTTTCACATCGGCACCACTGGTGTGGTTAGTGTTTTGACGTAAGGCACTCTGGCGTTTGTGGTGACCAGAGTTCATTTCCCTCAAGGTCCTATGCTGATCCTTCCCTTCTCCCCATGCTTTCTTGTCTATACTCTCTACTGTCCCATCAATTAAAAGTGAAAAACATTTTGTGTACACAAGAAAAAAATGGAAAGGAAATAAGGATTATGTTATTTTTTGTTTACTCAAATTTAACCATTATAGTTCTGCAGACAAAAAATGTTCAGTTGGTACAGAGTAGTTCCCCTCTCCAGAAAACTAATAATCTTATGTTAACCCAAACAAATATTTTTGTATTACTGACAAATATTTTTAGGCCAGTGCAGCTTATGCTTTTGTTGTACTGAATTCAAATTTTTTTACAGTGTAGAAAAGAAATATTTGGAAGTCATTGGCTGTTTTTTTTTTTTTTTTTTTTTAGCAACATACTTCAGTTTCAGGTTTAGTAAATAAAGCCCTTTAAGAGTGTGAGGATGGTGTAGAGGTCAATCCAGCCTCTCTCCAAGTCCTTTGGCTCTGCGCAGGTAGTGAAAATTCTAAATTTACATAAAACAAAACATTATGATTGGCTAAGATAAGCACTGAACATTTTGAAAAGTGGATCAAAAGCCATACTAAAAGCTGCTAAAATTGAAACAATAAAAAATAAAAGAAAGAATGGAAGCCAAGAGTACAGGCCACTTTCAGTATGGGTACAAAGAAGTGTAAGGTAGCACTTGTTATCATCACTTTCTGACTAGTACAACAGAAATCACTAGAGTTTGGTGTACTGAATTAAAAAGTAATCAGCTTAAATGGTTAAATAAACATTGAATTAAATCAGAAATTATTTTATGACTATATATACAGTGTATATTAAAAAATGTGTTGAAACGTTTCATGTTTTGATATATATTGAAAAAAAATCCTTTGCAGTGTAATTCTTTTAATTTCCAAAAATTGTATTTAATATTTTCTACATCAAATATTAAGTATCGCATTTTAAATCAAGCTAAAAGGCAATGTTTGACTCATATTTAAAGGATCAAAGAGTTCATATCTATTGATTGAGCTTTATAGATAAATTAAGTAGTAAAGAGTCGAGTAATTAAATTACTTAATGAGTGATTCAATTACTTTTGGGACTGTAATTAAAAAAGTAATCTAAATACAAAAACAATTATGCAATTAGTAATACTTTTTTAATGTCACTTACCCAAGACTATCACACACTTTAACATCAAGACACAAACACATACATCATTGCAACACCATAAAATGATAAGCGAGGCTTTAAAGAACTACTTGAAGGTCAATGATTACGGTATGTGTTTGAAAACGATATGATTTATTATGAATGTTTTCAGCCCCTCAACTTCCCACATTTATCAAGTGCACTTAAATGAGTCTTTTGACCTTAAAAATACCTTGTTTTATAGTTAGAGGGCCAGATCAAAGATGTGGGTCACTGTCCGGTCTGCTTTACAGACATCAGACAGGGAGAGGAAAAAAGAAAAGCTAATTCTTACACCAACATCTCACAGCTTATCATGACAAGATAAATGAAGCTCTAAAGGATTACCATTGGAACAGATATTCACAGCTAAATCCCCCAGAATCTGCAGATCACTTGGGAGTGATGAGTGGTCCAGAGAAGGGCTAAAGGAGGCTTTCAAGTAAGCTTTGAGTGATAAGCTCTCAGATACTGTATATGCACCAGTGCTCATGTTAAACTTTATCCTCAACAGTCCTGTCCTACATCTACCTGCTGTAGCAAATGTTTCAAAGTTTTGATCATCGCTTGAAGGATTTTGGCACCTGGCTAACTCACATAAACTTACTTTCTCCCTCTACTGCACACATATTCCTGCTCTGACACATCCAGGAGTAATAAAACTGATGGTGTGCTTTTCTTGAACGACCCTGTCAAAATCACAGCAGGGGCTTTTTTATCTAGTGGGTTCAGGTGATTCATCTGATCCAATAACCTTTAATTGTTTCTTTGAGAGATATACAGAGCAATTAATGTACAGTAAGTGCTTTATAACATGTAATGCTGCAGCTTTTAAATCCTCATTGTAATCTCAATTTATTTAAAAAAATAAATAAATAAAAAATAGTGAACGACATTATTTTCAGGTAATAGCAAACACACAATTCAGTTGAACTCAGTTCATATAAAGTGACAAACTAGCTGTGATCTGGGGGTCGTGGTTAACTGTTTCTCCACCCAATATAGTATGGTGGAAAACCCTTTCAAAAACAGCATTTTTTTGTTTGTTTGATTGGTGACTAGTAAACAAAAATGTCAGAATTTTGGGTTCCAGAACTTCCAGGTAGAGATACATTTCACAAACCCAGCAGAAACATGTCTACGTTAAACTTTAGTTCTATTTTAGTTGCAATGTCAGGTGACCAAAATTTAACGTCAGTCTGCTGTCTAATACTGACATCAGCTGACATCTAGTACCAACGTCAACTGGTGTTGATATTTAGTTGGTTTTATGTTGTGTAATTTCCAAGCTAAAATTCATTTTACAAACCCAGCAGGCACACAACGTCATATGATGTATGATGTTGATCTTTAGGTCTATTTTGGGTGTGACAATGGGTGACTAAAATTTAACGTCAATTTACTGACTAATACCAATGTCAGGACCATTATGTTGTGTTATTACCTAACTAAATTATTTTTTTTAATCCCAGCAGGCACACAACGTCTTATGACATTGATCTTTAATTCTATTTCGGTTGTGACGTCAGGTGACCAAAATTTAACGTCAATTTGCTGTCTAATTCCGACATCAGCTGACATCTAATACCAACGTCTGGTGTTGATATTTGTTTGGTTTTAGGCTGTGGCATTATCTAACTAACTAAATCTTCGGTTGTTTTTTGTTGTGTAATTGCCTAAGTAAAATTCAACATCACTTTAATGATGTAATGTGACGTCCATACAATGTCAAAAGCTAACATCTTTAGCAATTAATCTTGTGATTTTATGTTGTGTCGTGAACTAACTAAAATTAATTTTGACATTGAAGACTGACTTCAAACTGCTGTTGGGGTTCTGATGTCAACCTGATTTTCATATACAACTGAAATTCAAAGTTAGTCTGACATTGGAGTCCGATGTCAATTTAGCATGTGTGTGGCATCTGGTGCCTGCTGGGAAGAGATACATATTACAAAAACTTACCACTTTAAATCTACAGTATATAACTTTTGGCTATCTAAAGCAAATTTGTTTTTGCAATTAGTTTGGTAATTAGTAGCTAAATTAATCCAACTACAACAGTGCATTAACAACATTGTTTTGTCCCCCAACTGTTTTAATGTTTTCTTCCAGTGAAGTGGCTTGCAGTTCTATAAATATATAAACTTTTGTCAGCTTGACATGACAACACTATGTGACAGCATGTATTTAAATGAAGTATTATGACTGATAAACTTGGCAATCTGTTTGCTTTCATCACAAAACACCTATGTGGAGCCAAAAAAATTGTAACAAGAAAAAGGGCAGCACAGTTTTAGTGAGCAGACAATCACATTCCCTAAATTCCCTCAACAGTAGGCGACGAGACTGTGTGTGAAAAAGGGAGTGTGTGTCCCTCCAGATGGCACAGAAAGCCAAACCTGCCCATGCCTGCACAATGCCTTACTCTTTTGTCATTGCTGAGGAAACAAACTGACAACAATTATATGTATGTTTTACACCTGACAAAACAATGTTTACGTCTCAATATTGTGATTCTCATTACATCTCTTTAATAAGCAAAACAAAAACTCTTGAACACTGGGCAAAGATATAAAAAAAAAACAGCAAGCCTTTGAAAAAATGATTATAAAACACTTCCAGAGAGAGAACAGGCTGTTATAATCATCCTTTACTAAACAAGACTAAAATTGAACAAACCTAAATTAAACTGACAGGTTCTGGCTCGTACTGCAAAGAGTTCAGACTTTCATAATTTCTGATTATTAATGATAATAATGTACTGTATGGCCAGTAACAAGTTAAAACTCAACAAATCTAGCTTTGTTCATGCTGCCCTGTTTGTATTTGCCATGTAGTATTACAACACAATACAACAGCAAGGCATTCTTTAACTTTATAAACAAAGTTTAAACTTTGAGACAACTGTTAAACGATATACAGCAGAGAAACCAGGACCGGTAAAGAACCGCAACATGCGTGTAACAAAAGCAGTGACATAGATAAACTCACCGGGGACTCTTTGTGCTTCGCCAGTCCTTGTCCCCCGTGTAAAGGCAAGCATCTCGCGGTCAGGAGCACATGCAGAGCGAAAGCGCATGCCAGAAGCCCGGAGACCCGCATCCTCCTCCTGTATCCTCGAGCTCCGCCGCTGAAAGTGAAGTGGGAAGTGCTCGCGTGAGTGATGCCTGCTGTACTGCTGCTGCTGCAGAGACTGCACTTATTTATATGCAGAGATTTCTTTGTTCTCTGTCCTCAAATAGGTACATCGAGATTTTTTTCTACTTATGGGCCGGAGTGACAACATTGCCCGAGCTACCCACGTGATTTTTAACTCTTTTGCCTCTGTAGCTTAGTGGGATACAAATGATGAGTTTGTAGTGAACAAGAACGACGTAATTTTGTCAAATGTGGTCAATTTCTACATTTTATTGCCACTACACTTAATGTTTTATACTTTAAACTATTTGCTGTTTTAACTGTGATGGTTTTATTGTTAAACTGGTAAAAATAATATGATTGAGTGCTATATAGTTCAATTCAGAATAACAATAGCACAATTAGAAGAATGACAGGCCTACTGTCTATAATAGACGTTAGCGCTAAAGCTAATCTAAAGTTGTGTGCCAAATTACAATGACACAATTTGCAATTAGAAGAAGCAATCAAAACTTTTAGTCTAGCTTCCATCAATACGAATCAAGGATTTTGATGACCAATCAGATGTTTTGTGATGCTGCTTATCAAGAGTCTTGTCCCATTAGGGCAACCATGACAGTGCTATGTTAGCCTGGCCTATAACCACAGACCTCCTGTTGGTTTCAGTGGTGGAAGGCTGCCATGTGTGCTCTCAAGCCCTGCACTTAAGCACCCCAGATTCCATGAGCCCCCACTGTCTACTGCAATGCCCATTGTGGGGATCACAATCCTGTGTGTCCAGCACACTGCTCATCTGCTTGTCATCCTCCAGAATTCAGTCCAGCACCTGCTCCAGTCCTGGACTCCGGTTCTGCCGGCTCCACGCTGCATTCCTGCTCTGCCAGCTTCACCATGGTTTCATACTTTGCCAACTCCATGATGGCTTCATACTCTGCTGGTTCCATCCTGGCTTCAAACTCTGCTGGTTCCCCTATGGCTTCATACTTTGATGCTCAACCCTGCATTCATGCTCTGCAGGCTTCACACTGGCTTCCTGCTCTGCCGGCTCCACAATGGATTCATACTCTGTTGGCTTCACCTTGGGCTTCTTTTCTACTGCCTCCATCCTGGTTTCACACTTTGTAGGCTCCACCCTGGCTTCATACTTTGCCAGCTCCACCCTGGCTTCCTGTCCTGCTGCCTCTACCCTGGTTTCATACTTTGCTGGCTTCACTCTGGCTTCCCGCTCTGCTAGCTCTACCCTGGCTTCATATTTTGCTGTCTTCACACTAGTATACTGCTCTGCTGGCTCTACCCTGGCTTCATACTTTGCTGGCTTCATCCTGGCTTCCCGCTCTGCTGGTTCCACCCTGGCTTCATACCTTGACGGCTTCACCCAGGCTGCATGCTCTGCCGACTCCACCCTGGTTTTATACTCAATTGGTTTCACAGTGGCTTCCTGTTTTTCTGACTCCATTCTGTCTTTATACTTTGCAGGCTTCAACCTGGCTTCCTGTTCTGCTGGCACCGCCCTGGCTTCAGCCTGGTGTCCTGCTCTGTTGGTACCACAATGGCTTCATATTTTGCTGGTTCCACCCTGGCTTCCTGCTCTGCTGGCTCAATCTTGGCTTCATACTTTGCCGGCTTCACCCTGGATTTCTGCTCTGCTGGCTCTACCCTGCCTTCATTTTTTACCAACTCCACACTAGCATACTGCTTTGCTGGCTCCACCCTGGCTTCATACTTTGCCGCCTCCACCCTGGCTTCTTTCTCTGCCCTGGCTTCATACTTTGTCAGCTTTACCCTGGTTTCTACCCTGGTCTCCTGCTAACTGCTCTGTCAGCAAAATCAGACCATGAATGGCTATCGGCTAAAATAATTAGGCTCTCATTTTTGTTTAAAATCCAAAGTAATCTAAAAAAAAAAAAATTCAAAAAGAAACTTGCCTTTTTGATTTGCCTGTTTACAAAAGTGGTAAAGGTAAGGGAATCATTTCCTTTTCTGCATATGGTTTTGGTCAATGTCTGTAATGAATGAATAACACACCACAATTAGCTTTTATGATAAGAGCTTAGATTACAGCTAAAAAATTCAGAAATATGACTGAAAAACATGTCAGTCTTTCAAATCAGTTATGCTTGTGTACGTTAAGTTAGTTGCCTTTTAATCTCATTTGAGTTTACCAAAACTACAGGTGCAGGAGAGCACAAAAAACTAATGAGCCTTCACTTGCATTTAAACCCCCACAGTGAGTCTCAGATGTTGTTTTTCCCTCCCCTGGAAAGCCTCATGGACTAAGGGCTCATAGCTTTGTCACTGCGTCAACCTACAATGTTTATATAAGCCCAACATTATCATCCAACGAGCTGGAAAACATATTCATTCACTCATATGCCCACATGAATGATGCAGTTATCCTACAAACGCACACAGATGCTTGATATGCTTATTTACAAATGACAATTCACAAAGGTTATAGATGTTGGAAAAGGTCACCTGCACAGATAAAGATGAGCTCATAGCTGAAAATTTCCCTAAATTAGTCTGAGGAAAACAGGAAAACCAAAAAGTCAAAACTTGGATCCCATTACATCACCTGATCAAAATCTGACCACAAGTTAAAGTAAAACCATTGGGATGATGGGATGAAGGTTTTAGGGATGAGATAAACATCACTAAACATTAGCAAAACATATACAAACATCCAGTTTTGGTCTACTCATCAAAAACATTATTTTACAGTTTTATTTTACAGTTTTTAACGCAACATTTTGGGAAAGTCCACATTTTACCCAAAACAACCCACCACTTTTGGAGTGTACTTTAACGTTTCAATTACCTTTTGTGTAAATAAAATGTTAAGATATTGTGTTCAAATAATATTTTATTGTCATCCTATAAAAAAATATCATCAAATAAAATGAAATAATACATTTATTCTGACCTTTGCTTATTAAAATACATAAAACAATAACCGATCATTCCAAATTGTTTTCTATTTGAATTTACTTCTATAAATCAGGCTAAAAGTTATATCACATATGACCTAATATGATCAAACATTAATAAAGCTGAGTAAAGTCTAACAACATTGCTCGTTGCTCATTTTGGTTGATGCATAACTAACATTAACTAATACACCGAACACTGGAACCCAGACTATATATCAGAGTAATAAATAAACTCCAGATATCACAAAACTGCAGGTCACTACACCTAACAACAAAAACAATGATTAAATTGTGTAAATACAAATGAAAACTGTAGATTTTACCTAATTTTATTACAGATTTTACTTTAAATAGTCATTGTAAACAAACAATTCCAAGTAAATAAAAAGTTTCAGATCTACAAGTTTAAATTGTATACTAACATAAAACTTACATTTTTGTATTCTTGCCTAAATTAGTTGAATTTCCTATTAATACCATGTTACAAATATATACAGATTTATGTGAGACTCATTAAGATGAAAGAACTATAAAGTAAAATGCTAATTTAACCATTATTTTTAAAAAGTTTTTTTGAACCAATGTTTGTTAATGTGCTATTCTATTTCATGCTTGAGTTTGGTTTGAAACATACATAATGCCCAAATCTAATACCCGCATTTACCGCCTTTCAAAGTAGTGATTCAGTTCCATTATTCTTCCATTTCTATTAGTATTTATCAAAATAAAACAATCTCAGATAGACTTAAATGGCCTTTTGGCTCTTATCCATGTATCTGCTTTAATCTGCGACCACATGCCTCTTTTAATTCAAACCAGATTTTTAGTGAAGTCTTGCTGGGAGCCTCAGCAAGAGAAACCCACTGGCCCCCACTAGAACCATTATATTGGTTATCCTAAACCACAACCCTCCTTTGTTTACTTGTATTTTCAGATTGATGGGGCTGTGGTTGATGATATAACAACTAATCAAAGTAAATATATGCTTTAAAGAAGAGTTAAATATGAAAAAATCTCTTAAAAAATACAATGCAAAGCATCAAGAACCCAGACTCTTAACATCCAGACTTTAAACACACACCTTGACCTTTCTGAGAAGGTCAACTCCAAAAGCACACTGAAATGACATTTGACTCGAATGTTTCTCAGTAATATGGGGCAAGAGAGGAGAGAACGTGCAGAGCAGTCATTTGTGTTGAATCTCTATAATGACTTTAGGAAGCTGCCTGGATATGATTATAATTTAAGAGTGGTTTACATTATTTAATGTGTATCTGATTGTGTCAATCCCCTGGTTCTCTTTACAGAAAATGTGCTTCTTTGATGCTTTAGCTTAAAATATGGCTGCATAAATAGACTAAATGATTATATTTGGGGGTCGTGAGGGTCAGTAAATCGGTTTTCTTTTCTGGGTGAATTATACATTTAATTTAATGGGGTCAGAAACTCAGCCTGCTATATTTATGTTGAGTTATTTCACTTGAAAGGCAATGAAAATAACTTATTCATCACCATAAATGTAAAATTACTAAGCCTACAGGAGTCGGAGTAAAAATATCAATGGCATTTAGAGGGTTTTGCATCTAAACTCTTCAAATGTAAGTGTAAGGAAGTTTTGTGAAAATAAAATGTCAAGATATGGGTGAAATAATACTATTATATTGTCATTGGCCTATATTATCTTACATTATATATTGTTATATGATACATATCATTTATATACATAAAACCTGTAAATATTTAGTAAGTATTTGGACATATAATCCTTAAATGGAGTGTCATCAAATTATTTTTGTACTGTAAATAAGCTTAAGATTTTGTGCTATGTAATTGTTACTTTGAATGACCCTTCAATGATAAATTGTGATAACTGAGAGAGAAGAGATAATTCTACCAACAAATAAAAAGCTTCTACTTTAATGCAATTACATTGTCTTAATAAAACCATATTTTATTTTATTATTTTATTTTATTATTTATTTATTATTTCTTTGTGACTTCACCCAAGATATAAAATGTTACTCACCCATAACTTGTTCCAAAGAAATTTAAGGGTTTTTGTTGTTGTTGTTGTTTTATGGAAGATATTTTAGGGATATGTGAACCATTTAGCTTTATCATAGAAAAAACAAATACTATGGAATTCAGTGGTTACATAGTATTATGTATGAACTACATTCTTCAAAACAACTTCTTTTGCCTTCAGCAGAATAAATAATCTCAAATTGGTTTGGAACAAGTCAATGGTGAGTAAATAATGACAGAATTTTTTAATCCCTTTGAATCCAAGTTT